ATAATCATGCTATTGTGTAGTGAAACGTCATATCTGTGTAACCATAACCATGCTATTGTGTAGTGAGACGTCATATCCGTGTAACCACAATCATGCTATTGTGTACTGAGACGTCATATCCGTGTAACCATAATCATGCTATTGTGTACTGAGACGTCACATCCGTGTAACCACAATCATGCTATTGTGTAGGGAGACGTCATATCCGTGTAACCATAATCATGCTATTGTGTAGTGAGACGCCATATCCGTGTAACCACAATCATGCTATTGTTTAGTGAGACATCATATCCGTGTAACCATAATCATGCTATTGTGTAGGGAGACGTCATATCCGTGTAACCATAATCATGCTATTGTGTAGTGAGACGTCATATCCGTGTAACCACAATCATGCTATTGTGTAGGGAGACGTCATATCCGTGTAACCACAATCATGCTATTGTGTAGGGAGACGTCATATCCGTGTAACCATAATCATGCTATTGTGTAGGGAGACGTCATATCCGTGTAACCACAATCATGCTATTGTGTACTGAGACGTCATATCCGTGTAACCATAATCATGCTGTTATGTAGTGACAACGTTGTATCATTGGAACCATAATCGTGCTATTGTGTAGGGAAACGTCATATCCGTGTAACCATAATCATGCTATTGTGTACTGACAGGGACGTATCATTGTAACCACAATCATGCTATTGTGTAGTGACGTCATATCCGTGCAACCATAATCTTATTGTGTAGTGACAACGTCCTGTCTGGGTAACCATAATCTTCTTATTTTGTAGTGACAACGACTGACTTCCAGTATTTAATGACGTATCTTACTGGAACATGCAATGCACAGTTAATCCTTCGAACCTCCAGAAACAGATTCGAACTCAGGTACTCTTGGCATCAATATTGTCCACTGACTTCCAGTATTTAATGATTATACTTACTGGAACATGCAATAACAGTGTCTTCCGTCGAACCTCCAGACACAGATTCCGAACTCAGGTACTTGGCATCAATAGTGTCCACTGACTTCCAGTATTTAATGATTATATTTGGAACATGCAATAACAGTGTTCCTACTTACTGGAACATGCAATAACAGTGTCTTGGAACATGCAATAACAGTGTCTTCCCTCGAACCTCCAGACACAGATTCCGAACTCAGCAACTTGGCATCAATATTGTCCACTGACTTCCAGTATTTAATGATTATACTTAACTCGAACCATGCAATCGCAGATTCTTTAGTCGAACCTCCAGACATAGATTCCGAACTCAGTTACTTGGCATCAATAGTGTCCACTGACTTCCAGTATTTAATGATTATACTTACTGGAACATGCAATAACAGTGTCTTCCCTCGAACCTCCAGAGACAGATTCCGAACTCAGGTACTTGGCATCAATAGTGTCCACTGACTTCCAGTATTTAATGATTATACTTACTGGAACATGCAATAACAGTGTCTTCCGTCGAACCTCCAGACACAGATTCCGAACTCAGTTACTTGGCATCAATAGTGTCCACTGACTTCCAGTATTTAATGATTATACTTACTGGAACATGCAATAACAGTGTCTTCCCTCGAACCTCCAGAGACAGATTCCGGGCTCAGTTACTTGGCATCAATAGTGTCCACTGACTTCCAGTATTTAATGATTATACTTACTGGAACATGCAATAACAGTGTCTTCCGTCGAACTTCCGTCGAACCTCCAGACACAGATTCCGACTGCAACAACTTGTCTTCTTCAGTTAGGTACTTGGCATCAATAGTGTCCACTGACTTCCTTGGCACTCAGGTACTTGGCATAATGTCCACTGACTTCCAGTATTTAATGATTATACTTACTGGAACATGCAATAACAGTGTCTTCCCTCGAACCTCCAGACACAGATTCCGAACTCAGGTACTTGGCATCAATAGTGTCCACTGACTTCCAGTATTTAATGATTATACTTACTGGAACATGCAATAACAGTGTCTTCCCTCGAACCTCCAGAGACAGATTCCGAACTCAGGTACTTGGCATCAATAGTGTCCACTGACTTCCAGTATTTAATGATTATACTTACTGGAACATGCAATAACAGTGTCTTCCCTCGAACCTCCAGACACAGATTCCGAACTCAGTTACTTGGCATCAATAGTGTCCACTGACTTCCAGTATTTAATGATTATAGTATTTACTGAACATGCAATAACAGTGTCTTCCCTCGAACCTCCAGAGACAGATTCCGAACTCAGTTACTTGGCATCAATAGTGTCCACTGACTTCCAGTATTTAATGATTATACTTACTGGAACATGCAATAACAGTGTCTTCCCTCGAACCTCCAGACACAGATTCCGAACTCAGGTACTTGGCATCAATAGTGTCCACTGACTTCCAGTATTTAATGATTATACTTACTGGAACATGCAATAACAGTGTCTTCCCTCGAACCTCCAGAGACAGATTCCGAACTCAGCAACTTGGCATCAATATTGTCCACTGACTTCCAGTATTTAATGATTATACTTACTGGAACATGCAATAACAGTGTCTTCCGTCGAACCTCCAGACACAGATTCCGAACTCAGTTACTTGGCATCAATAGTGTCCACTGACTTCCAGTATTTAATGATTATACTTACTGGAACATGCAATAACAGTGTCTTCCGTCGAACCTCCAGAGACAGATTCCGAACTCAGGTACTTGGCATCAATAGTGTCCACTGACTTCCAGTATTTAATGATTATACTTAACTCGAACCATGCAATCGCAGATTCTTTAGTCGAACCTCCAGACATAGATTCCGAACTCAGTTACTTGGCATCAATATTGTCCACTGACTTCCAGTATTTAATGATTATACTTACTGGAACATGCAATAACAGTGTCTTCCCTCGAACCTCCAGACACAGATTCCGAACTCAGGTACTTGGCATCAATAGTGTCCACTGACTTCCAGTATTTAATGATTATACTTACTGGAACATGCAATAACAGTGTCTTCCGTCGAACCTCCAGAGACAGATTCCGGGCTCAGTTACTTGGCATCAATATTGTCCACTGACTTCCAGTATTTAATGATTATACTTACTGGAACATGCAATAACAGTGTCTTCCGTCGAACCTCCAGAGACAGATTCCGAACTCAGTTACTTGGCATCAATAGTGTCCACTGACTTCCAGTATTTAATGATTATACTTACTGGAACATGCAATAACAGTGTCTTCCGTCGAACCTCCAGACACAGATTCCGAACTCAGGTACTTGGCATCAATAGTGTCCACTGACTTCCAGTATTTAATGATTATACTTACTGGAACATGCAATAACAGTGTCTTCCCTCGAACCTCCAGAGACAGATTCCGAACTCAGGTACTTGGCATCAATAGTGTCCACTGACTTCCAGTATTTAATGATTATACGTTACTGGAACATGCAATAACAGTGTCTTCCCTCGAACCTCCAGACACAGATTCCGAACTCAGGTACTTGGCATCAATAGTGTCCACTGACTTCCAGTATTTAATGATTATACTTACTGGAACATGCAATAACAGTGTCTTCCCTCGAACCTCCAGACACAGATTCCGAACTCAGTTACTTGGCATCAATAGTGTCCACTGACTTCCAGTATTTAATGATTATACTTACTGGAACATGCAATAACAGTGTCTTCCCTCGAACCTCCAGAGACAGATTCCGAACTCAGGTACTTGGCATCAATAGTGTCCACTGACTTCCAGTATTTAATGATTATACTTACTGGAACATGCAATAACAGTGTCTTCCCTCGAACCTCCAGAGACAGATTCCGGGCTCAGTTACTTGGCATCAATAGTGTCCACTGACTTCCAGTATTTAATGATTATACTTACTGGAACATGCAATAACAGTGTCTTCCCTCGAACCTCCAGAGACAGATTCCGGGCTCAGTTACTTGGCATCAATAGTGTCCACTGACTTCCAGTATTTAATGATTATACTTACTGGAACATGCAATAACAGTGTCTTCCGTCGAACCTCCAGACACAGATTCCGAACTCAGTTACTTGGCATCAATATTGTCCACTGACTTCCAGTATTTAATGATTATACTTACTGGAACATGCAATAACAGTGTCTTCCCTCGAACCTCCAGAGACAGATTCCGAACTCAGGTACTTGGCATCAATAGTGTCCACTGACTTCCAGTATTTAATGATTATACTTACTGGAACATGCAATAACAGTGTCTTCCGTCGAACCTCCAGAGACACAGATTCCGAACTCAGGTACTTGGCATCAATAGTGTCCACTGACTTCCAGTATTTAATGATTATACTTACTGGAACATGCAATAACAGTGTCTTCCGTCGAACCTCCAGAGACAGATTCCGAACTCAGGTACTTGGCATCAATAGTGTCCACTGACTTCCAGTATTTAATGATTATACTTACTGGAACATGCAATAACAGCATCAATAGTGTCCACTCTTCCAGTATTTAATGTCGAACCTCCAGACACAGATTCCGAACTCAGGTACTTGGCATCAATAGTGTCCACTGACTTCCAGTATTTAATGATTATACTTACTGGAACATGCAATAACAGTGTCTTCCGTCGAACCTCCAGACACAGATTCCGAACTCAGGTACTTGGCATCAATAGTGTCCACTGACTTCCAGTATTTAATGATTATACTTACTGGAACATGCAATAACAGTGTCTTCCCTCGAACCTCCAGACACAGATTCCGAACTCAGTTACTTGGCATCATAGTGTCCACTGACTTCCAGTATTTAATGATTATACTTACTGGAACATGCAATAACAGTGTCTTCCCTCGAACCTCCAGAGACAGATTCCGAACTCAGGTACTTGGCATCAATAGTGTCCACTGACTTCCAGTATTTAATGATTATACTTTACTGACCATGCAATCGCAGTGTCTTTAACAGATTCCGAACTCAGTTACTTGGCATCAATATTGTCCACTGACTTCCAGTATTTAATGATTATACTTACTGGAACATGCAATAACAGTGTCTTCCCTCGAACCTCCAGAGACAGATTCCGAACTCAGGGTTGTCGATCCTCCTGGAACATTCACACTCAATCTCAATCAGATCCTCCAGGCAGCTTCTCTCACAAGTCTGAATGATAGCAAGCATCAATGGTGTCGTTATAACAGTAAACGTAAAGTGCTCAAAAGCAAAAGCGAATAACAACAGGAATATCATAGGCACATAAGTTTCTGAAGTAATGTTCTCAAAGCGGTAGAAAACAACACTATCAACGACACAGACAGATAATTATCTAAAATGTTGTTTATGCATGAGCGAAAGAGAATAAAAAAAGCAACATCATAATCACATATTTATAAATAGCACATTACATTAGATAAGAATCTGCCTATGTTGTTGCCTTTGTTCTCTTTCGCATTTAGGCACACTACCCGATATAATTATGTTCTTATGCCGTTGCTATTATGCCTTTTCGGTGTTAAGCACATCATTTCAGATATAAATGTGCGTATGTCATTGCTATTATTTCGCATTTGAGATCATTACTTCAGAAAGCTATTTGCTCATGACTTCGCCATTGTTATTCACATTCTCTTTAAATTACTTACATTACTTCTGATAAGTACATGTATGTGGTCAATACGTTTCTATTCCTATTTTCGTTCTCCTTTGAGAACTTTACTTGAGATACCCATGCATGTGCGTATATCGTTGTCGTTTTCTCTTTCCCTGGTAAGAACATATTTTAATCCGAAAGAGAACGACATAAGCACATATTTTTTCAAAATTAACGTGCTTTAAAACGAAAAAAAATGCAACCGATTCATACTCATATTTTGCATGGTCCCATCTACCCAGACATATCCTAACATTCGTAAGGAATGGTTGAATGCTTGGAAAGGTTTTCTGAGAAAATCTTCTTCCGTAAGGGGTGAAAGAAAAGTGGGATACAGAGGCCTTATTTTGAGGTGTATTATTTTGTGCATTCTTCTCTTCGAAAGTCTCAAGCCCGTGAAGATCCGGGTTAGAATTGATCTTCAGTAGCCCATGCCTGTCGTAAGAGGCGACTAACGGGATCGGGTGGTGAGGCTCGCTGACTTGGTTGACACTATTGTCATGTCATCGTATCCAATTGCGAAGATCGATGCGCATGACGTTGATCACTGGATTGTCTGGTCCAGACTCGATTATGCACCGTCCGCCGCTATATAGATGGAATATTGCTACGTGCGACGTACAACTAAACTCACCCACTCACTCACTCAAAAGTCTCGAAAATATTTCTTTCAAGAATTGTCTTCAGTTTATCTTTGTCAAAAACGAACCACAACCCACCAGGTCCCACCCTGTAGTGTTATTTATATACATCGGTTTTGATTGACTAACACATGTTCCGATAATTGGGCGTATTCTTTGATTTAATGAAAAGGCACTCGGAAAATTTGTTTGAAGAGGTCGGTATATCATCTGTGTGTGTTGTAACACGTGATTGTCACATGAATGAAACGAGTTCCAATGTTGGACGTATTTAGGGCTGGTCGAAGGAAGTCTTGCTTACTTGAATGTCGCCGTAGGGGTTGTCGATCTCACAGTTGCCGTACGGGTCGGGCTGATGGATTCGAACTGTCTGAAGAGCAAATAGATTTGGTGAGTTGGGTCTTCAGTCAGAAATAGCACAACGAGAATTGCTTTACACAGCGTACCAATGTACCCCGAGCACGTATCTGTTTCCGTGACACCCGTGAAGATCCGGATTAGAATTGATCTTCAGTAACCCATGCTTGTCGTAAGAGGCGATTACTGGATCGGGTGGTCAGGCTCGCTGACTTGGTTGACATATGTCATCGGATCCCAATTGCGTAGATTGATGTTTATGATGTTGATCTCTGGATTGTTTGGTCCAGACTCGATTATTTACAGACCACCGCCATATAGCTGGAATATTGCTGAATGTGGCGTAAACGTAAAACTCACTCACTCACTCTCTCATAAAACATAATGGCACAGTAATGCGTTGCCACAAAATCGGCAAACACTCTATCTGCCCACAGAGTTACTTCCGCTGACATATACTCACTGGCCTGATTCCAATGGAGGTTTCGAAGCCCGGTGGTGCAGTCAGTCCTTTCTGCATCAGGTTGGGCGGCGAGTCGTACTCATGAACGGCCACACGGATACCGGCGCTGGGCGTCACGAATGGCACGTACTCTTTCTGGTCCACGTTCAGAATCAAACTCAGACCTAAACACAGAAAAAGGCAAATAATTCGAAGTCTTTGATCGGCATTTAGAAGTGATACCCATAAAGGCAATAATTTATGGATGTCAACTTCCTTATGTTGAAGAACACGACTTTGGGGGTATATTCTTACACCTTCATCGGGTGATAAAGAAGTTGACATCCATAAATTCTTGCCTTTTGATAATGCGGAATAAATACAGGATATGCATGGTGAGCATTGCGATCTTACGTTTTTCTTCTCTGAAGCAGTGACCATAGGCTATATATACTTCTACAATCAGCATGACTTTTTGGTTTCATCAGATATCGAACTAATACAGTGACACAGTTTCAATAATTATTAAATCCGTGAAGATTCGGGGTCTTCAGTAACCCATGCTTGTTGTAAGAGGCGACTAACGGGATCAGTTGGTCAGCCTTGCTGACCTGGTTGACACATGTCATCGGATCCAATTGCGCAGATCGATGCTCATGATGTTGATCAATGGAATGTCTGGTCCAGACTCGATTATTTACCGTCCGCCGCCATATAGATGGAATATTGCTACGTGCGGCGTTAAACAACAAATAAAGCAAACCAATACTGACTGTCAGTGTATTCCGGCTCTTCTTGACACGCCTCAACATTTCTTACCGACTCTCAAACCAACGTAAAGCCAACTGACTCCTTCATACCCACCAAAGAGTTGGCCAGCGCTGTAGACGTCGAGCGAGCGTGTCCTGTTGTCTCGTGGAAACTGGAAGCAGTTCATGTAGTCGAGGTCGTAGGTCCAAGAGAATTCGCTGAAAGGACACACACCATATCGTATGATGTTGGATCAAAACGACCATGCAATGTCTGCTTGAGTGCGTGCGTGCGTGCGTGCGTGCGTGCGTGCGTGCGTGCGTGCGTGCGTGCGTGTATTATGCTGGATCCTCTCAACAGTGGTGGAAAAAGACAACTTCTTTCGGTATAAACAATGACGGTCTCACAACAATGAAAATATAAGTTTATTCTTTCTCATTTTGGTTGTTTAACGCCGCACCCAGCAGTAGTCAAGCTATATAACGATGGTCTGTAAATAACCGAGCCCGACAATCCAGTGATCACCAGCAGAGACATCGATCTACGCATTTGAGATAAGATGACATGAAAGAGCTTATTCGTGTCCACAAGCCATCGAGACCTCTTCGCTCCTCTGAGAAGTTCCTCTTGTCCTAACCAGTCTCCACAAGCAAGATGGCTGTCAGAACCTTCTCCATTGTTGCACCTCAATAATGGAACACAGAGCCACCATCTGTGAATCCACTGTTAAAAGCCAAATCAAAACCCATCTGTTCGGAACTGCTATAATATTTGAGAACTCCCCCTCACACTTTACTGACTCCTACATATGCGCCAGCGGGCAACTAGACAAATGACTAATAGCCGCTATAAAAATGAATTATACGAAAATAAAATCAGCTAGTCTGACCACCCGATCCCGTTAGTCGCCTCTTACGACAAGCATGGGTTGCTAATGACCATTATTAACAAGGCGGTAGACACTCACCTGTGGCTACAGGGGCTGCCGGCAAAGGTGCAGCTGACGAGGAGCTCAGAGATGGGCTGTGCCAACAGTTGGATGTCCGACGTTTCTGCCAGACCCAGAAGGGTCTCCATCCGAAACTCTTCCGGTGCTTCCGTCAGGAACTGACTCACTGAGCAACGTAAAGCGTGATTTAGGCGTGAAGTACAAAAACGGGGTTGATAAGAGAACAATGTAAAAGTGTATTATTATACTGAACATCATTGAAAACGCACCACTTATAAAAGTTCAGATTATTAAAAGCACGTGTAAGGAATTGATATTGTTTGAGTGGATAATAACAGATGGACGACTGACAAAAACAACAACACAGAAAAGACGCTCATTCATGAAATGTTCCACAGTCAGAAAGGATCAAACACGCGTGGGGTCAAATCGAAAAGTCAATATCGCGTGTGACCGCCATTTGCATTGACACATGCAGTTCAACGTCTCCTCATTGAGTCAATAAGCGTCCGAAAAGAGTTCTTGAGGATGGCATTCCACTTCTGAAGTAGTGCAGCCTCAAGTTCCCGGACGTTTCGTATCTGTTGTCGCCGCGAAAGACTTTGACCAATTTCGTCCCACAAGTGCTCCATTTGGGATACATGTGGCGACTGTGCTGGCCAATGAATAACCTGGATGTGTTGCTGGGCCAGATACTGCATGGAAAGTCTTGTTGTGTGTGCCCGTGCATTGTCCTGTTGAAAAGTATGGACATCTTGGTGGTGACTGAAGACAGATACGATGTGATTCTGAAGAATCTGCTCACGGTAATTAAGGGCATTAACTCTCCCTTGACAGACATGAAGGCAGTCCTGTGATTGTAATTTATTCCACCCCAGACCATGACACTCCCACCACTCAAAGGTCTGTCTGAACCACACACTCATCAGCATAACGTTCACCACGTCTACGCCAAACACGTAATCGGCCGTCAGCATTACGTAGATGAAGACGTGACTCGTCAGTGACTACCACACCATGTCATTGTTGTAACCTTTACTGAAAATGACTGCTAGCCCATTGTAAACGCTCATTACGGTGTCCGTCAGTCAGAATTGGTCCAACGTAAGGACGTCGAGCATGGAGCCCTGTAGCGCGTAGACGGCGTCGCATGAATTCAGCGCTGATGACCCCCACGTCAACCTTGAACTAGTGCAGCAGTCCTGGCAGTCGGCAGTGTTCAATCACTGATATGGACAAGGTCAATATGGCGATCCTGATTGAGCGTCGTAACACGTTGTTGCCAAGGTCATTGAAGGTCACCGGTGCTGCCTGTCTACTGATGTCGTCTATGAAGCCTAACGATGGTGGAGTGGCCAAGTCCAAGTTGTCGAGCAATATCCCTGCTGCTGGTGCTGTGAATCATGCCTAGTGCACGTTCTCTTTCCTGAGGTGTTAACCTCGGCGTCTCTGTCCTCGTTTCACAATCGTTAGTGAAGCAATGAGAATCGGTTCTCATACACCTGCTTTTAATGTCACAGTCAGTATGATTTCAGAATGAAATTAGCGCTTTTTTTCACGGCGTGGCTGCATGTTGATGCATTTTGGAATTAAGAGTCATAATGTAGACAGGTATTTGTTTCTAACGCATGTTTTTCAACTGGACATGCCCTTCGACTTCATGTTAGTTATATTCATTGATCATTGTCAAGCTGAAATCCATCTTGATGAAAATATGAACAATTTTAGACTGGTGCGTTTTCAATGATGTTCAGTATATTATGATAATTTAAGCCTTACTGTATTGACAAATCTACCTATCAGACAATTGTCAACCTTATTCCATCTGAAAATGTTAACATTCTTTATAAACTTATACACTCCTCCAAAGATTCCTTTCCAAGATAGGTGTAGACCTGATCTTCCACAAGATGCTCAATAACACCTCCCCCCTTGTACATCGAAGATCCATCATTAATTACCTTGCCACGTTTCAAATGAAGAGTATTACATTTGTCTAATCCAATTCTCATGCCAATATCATTAGAACAGGACTCGACAAAGAGAACCAGTTCTTTCAAATTGGTATCTCCTTTGGCAAGGAGCTCGATGTCATCAATGTAAAGGATGTACTTATTTATATGATTATTGCTGATCTGGTCACGCTATAATGAACTAACGTGTAAATATATACCTTCCTTCTATATTTAAAAACCTACTTATCAGATATTTGCCGGCCTTATATCTCCTGACAATATGATATTATTCTTTATAAACTTGTGTTGATTCAAAAGATATTCCCTCTGACCTGGTGTCATTGTCTATGTGTACTATCAGGCGGTGCACAAAGAACAGACATGCTGTATATGAAATTTAAACGCATTGTACTATTAACCTTTTGGCCTCCTGAACGTGATAAACGAACTGAACTGAATGGAAAATTAAATACTATGTAATTACAAGTGGGAAAAGATCAGTCTGAGTGAGAATGACTGGATATGGAAGCCTTTTGCTGCTATATCCAGGGAATAATGACATCGACATCATGTACTACAGTGTGAGTTTTCAGTCAAGATGAGACCATCTTGCAATGATGTCGGTTTACTATCTGCTTAAAACACACGAGGAGAACCCTCCTCAGTGTGTCCCTTGTGATGGTTCTCATATCGTGATATATCGTGCTCCACTGTGACTGTCCAATTGCAAGGAATTCACAATTATCAAGTAGTAAACCAGAAAGATCTGTTTAACCGTGCAATCTTGCATCTTATGAGTGAGTGAGTTTTGTTTTACGCCGCTTTTAGCAATGTTCCGTCGGGGAACACCAGGAATGTGCTTCTCACATTGTACCTATGTGGGGAATGGAACACGGGATTCAACGTGACGAATAAACGCTTATATATTTCTGTGCATATCAGTTAGTTTCTAATTGACTCCTATCAATTGATCTAGCTCCTTGTCAAAATGACAACACCGTACATATTCTATATAGGAGTTCGAAGGAAACACTCTCCTCTCATGTTGCTGTGAAGTTTAGGTAATAAGTCAAGTTACCTGAGAATTCACTAGGTTCATCAGTGTAATAATCGTCTTGAGTGTCATTTGCAGCGTCAGGGTCGACACGTGCCTGAAGTAAACATGAAGTACGCATCATGCTATGTCAACTGACTTGCAACGTGTAGTAATGTTATATGGCAAAACCGCATCCCTGAAATATGAGAACAGTATAACAAATCTATACAATTATCAGAAGAGTATTACAAATTTATTCAAATATCAGAAAAGTCTAACAAATCTATTCATGAGAATCACTGGAATACATAAGAAACGTAAACAAATCTATACAATTATCAGAAGAGTATTACAAATCTATTCAAATATCAGAATATTCTAACAAATCTATTCATGAGAATCACTGGAATATATAAGAAATGTAAAACAAATCTACACAATTTTCAGAAAAGTATTACAAATCTATTCAAATATCAGAATATTCTAACAAATCTATTCATGAGAATCACTGGAATATATAAGAAATGTAAAACAAATCTACACAATTTTCAGAAAAGTATTACAAATCTATTCAAATATCAGAATATTCTAACAAATCTATTCATGAGAATCACTGGAATATATAAGAAATGTAAAACAAATCTATACAATTTTCAGAAAAGTATTACAAATCTATTCAAATATCAGAATATTCTAACAAATCTATTCATGAGAATCACTGGAATATATAAGAAAAGTAAACAAATCTATACAATTATCAGAAGAGTATTACAAATCTATTCAAATATCAGAAAAGTCTAACAAATCTATTCATGACAATCACCGGAATATATAAGAAAAGTAAAACAATTCTACACAATTATCAGAAGAGTATTACAAATTTATTCAAATATCAGAATAGTCTAACAAATCTATTCATGAGAATCACTGGAATATACGAAAAGTCTAACAAATATGTACAATTATCAGAAAAGTATAACAAATCTATTAGAATATCAGAAACGTATAACAAATCTTGATATTCACTGAAATATACGAAAAGTATAAACAAATCTACTCTTGAGATTCACTGGAATATAAGAAAAGTACAAAAATTCTATTCTTGAGAATCACTGGAATATAACAAAAGTATAATAAATCTTTCCTCGAGAATCATAGGAATATAAGAAAAGTATAGAAAATATATTCTAGAGAAATATAAGAAAAGTATCAATCTTTCCCCGAGAATGACTGGAATATAAGAATTGCATAGCTAATCTATTCCTGAGATTCACTAATATATAAGAAAAGCATAACAAATCTTTTCAGGAAAAATGCAGGTAAAGTGAAGAATTAAGATGCACCACCCTCGTTGATAGGTTGGTGTTTCAGAACTGTTTCAGGTAAAGTGAAGAATGGGAATGCATTCCTCTGCGATAGGTTGTGTTTCAGAACTGCTTAAGGTAAAGTGAAGAGTGGGCCTGCATCCCTCTGCGATAGGATGGTGTTTCAGAAATGCTTCAGGTTAAGTGAAGAATGGGCCTGCATCTCTCTGCGAGAGGATGGTGTTTCAGAAATAGTTCAGGTAAAGTGAAAATGAAGCTCTATAAGTCTACGATAGGTTGGTGCTTCAGAACTGATTCAGGTAAAGTGAAGAATTAAGATGCACCACCCTCGTTGATAGGTTGGTGTTTCAGAACTGCTTCAGGTAAAGTGAAGAATAGCATCCCCTGCATCGGAAATGCCCTCTGCGAAATGAAGCTCTATAAGTCTACGATAGGTTGGTGCTTCAGAACTGATTCAGGTAAAGTGAAGAATTAAGATGCACCACCCTCGTTGATAGGTTGGTGTTTCAGAACTGCTTCAGGTAAAGTGAAGAATAGGCCTGCATCCCTCTGCGATAGGTTGGTGTTTCGGAAATGCTTCAGGTAAAGTGAAGAATTAAGCTCCATCAGTCTGCGATAGGTTGGTGCTTCAGAACTGATTCAGGTAAAGTGAAGAATTAATATGCACCACCCTCGTCGATAGGTTAGTGTTTCAGAACTGCTACAGGTAAAGTAAAGAATGTGCCTGCATCCCTCTGCGATAGGTTGGTGTTTCAGAAATAATTCAGGTAAAGTGAAGAATGGGCCTGCATCCCTCTGCGATAGGATGGTGTTTCAGAACTGCTTCAGGTAAAATGAAGAATGGGCCTGCATCCCTCTGCGAGGGGTTGGTGTTTCAGAACTGCTTCAGGTAAAGTGAAGAATAGGCCTGCATCCCTCTGCGATAGGAATGTGTTTCAGAAATGCTTCAGGTAAAGTGAAGAATGGGCCTGCATCCCTCTGCGATAGGAATGTGTTTCAGAAATAATTCAGGTAAAGTGAAGAATTAAGATGCACCACCCTCGTTGATAGGTTGGTGTTTCAGAACAAATTCAGGTGAAGTGAAACAGCTCTGTGGCTTCCTGTACATACTATAAATACCTCTGTAACTACTGACTTTATTCACCCGATGAACGGGCCAGTATTAGCCCAGAAACGCCGTGTGTAAATAATAAGGAAGTTGCACATCCATACCATGTGTATTGTATTAGGTGAAGTGAAGTTCAAACATGCATCAGCCTGCGATAGGTTATTGTTTCACAAATGTTTCAGGTGAAGTCAACAGTATACCAACCTACTGCATCTGACTGCTGTACACTACAGTTTCAATTTAAGACAACTGTGCGTCTGATTGCGTTAAGTCGGGGATAAGAGACCTCTTTCGTATGTGTTTGAGCAACGCAACAGTTTCAGGTAAACGTAAGGGTGCACCTACCAGTCCTGTTTGCGGTGTGCCACCAAATTGTTCCAGTGAGATGTTGAGACTCTTGGAAAACCGTCTGAGAGTTTCCATGGGGAACTGCTGATTTTGTATTTTGGAGTACTTGAATGGATTCAGGTTGCATAGAGTGACGGTCGGGAACTCGAGACTGCGGGAGTGTATCGTAGTCTTGGTCGTAACAGGACGTCTGGAATAAATACGTGATTTTGATGTTAACGCCAATTTCCATACAGAAAGCAAATAGAATTTGCACTAGTTTCGATGCTCCATTCCACGAAAACAAACAAAACATTGAGTTGGAAGTCGCTTTTCAAGGCATCAACAATCGTGGATCTTGTGAAACATCTGTTGTATCCAAAATATAATCAACAGTTTATTGTAGTAAATAGAAGCGACAAAACTATTTCCACATCCACTAGAAACTCTGCTAAAATCAGCGTCGACTGTACCATTCTGACTATATATCATGAGTATGTATTGATTTCAGCAGTATTACAACTACACAATGTTGTTTGTAAACAATGGAGCCTCGACGACACAATCCAGTGACTGTCACTACGCGATACGATGACAGAGCACGCGTTTATGAATCACATTGAATAGTGATGATGATGCCAGGGGTTCTTGAAAAGGTGACCGGTGGCACCCGTCATTAACACATGCAAAGTCTCGTCAGTATTCACTGAACTATTTTGGGAACGTATGGTACAAGGCAAATTATGGAACGGGACTAGGGTTATACCGGTTGCAGAGATCATAGAGTTTAGTCCGTTATGAAAGCATATAATGTGCTATAAAATGATGTTACTATATGACAAAGAAGATAAAAAGAATTGGATAACGGATGTCAAGCACCTACTTGTTTCAACTGGATTTAATAATTTATGGTTTGAACAAAGGTTGATTTTTACCAGCTAAAATGGTTGAAAACAATTTCAATATATACAAAATGTAATTATTACTCAGTCGTTAAAACTCACATTTATACTGTACCTTACTTTAACATGTGTTAATATTAAGAAATGTACAATATTGTTAGCTCGTTTCCGTTGTTCATCTCATGATCTGTTAATTGAAAAAGGTAGGTTTATGAAAATCAAAAGAGAAGATAGGATCTACAGATGCTGCAATAATAATACTGTACGTAAAAAATATATCAAAGAATTATATTTTTTCCATCCATCAATTGATAAACTATTCTATTGAATTGTTCAGATGCTTGATGGGCATTTAGAAGTTGGGAGGTAACACAACAACGTATGGTATGGATTTACAACTTCTTTAATATTACATCACGAAGTTTCTTGGCTACTTCTTACCCCTTCATCAGGTGAATGACAGAATATGATACAAGCAGAATATATAGTATGTATTTAAACACACTGGACCATTTATAAGTATACTTTAATTGTGTGAAAATTATTTGTTTGAAATTGCTTAGAACGAAAGTTATTCACTGGTAGTGGAGAGTTATTGATGTACAGTTTAGTGATATAACAAAACTGTGCAAAACCTCTGACAAGACTTCTTAAAAGTCATCTAGTTAAAATACTAGAAATGATTGCCTGGTGTTTTGGACAGATTCGTAAGTAATACAAATAAGTAAATACGGTAAAGTAATGATATACAATGTCATTATAATCTAGTATTTCATCCAATCAACGTTCAGTACTAGTGATATCAAAGTACGATTTACACAATTCAGAGTGTATGCAAGTAAACAATTACTAAATGATTCCTATAACATCCATTTGATTGAATTCTTAGTTTCTTGGCTCTTGTTATGAGACATACTTCTTTCTTAGATATCATGTCTATTTAACGGATTATTTCTGCCAGTAACACAGCACAATAAAAGGACGTATTTCAAAATACTCCTTTGGTTTTGCCGATTCCTTTCGTCTCTTTGTCAGTAACCACTGTTTTAAGGTAGACAATGTGTATGCTTTTATGTTTGTCTAGATTTGTCTAAATTGCTAACGGCTGAAGGGATGGTGTAAATCCAGCTAGGGTCCATGCAGGGAGCAAATGTACTGTAAATCCCCATGGTCACTAATTAGGTTGTTGGCAACCAATAGCCTGTTTTATATTGTTTTGTCATTTATAGCTTAAATGTTTTAGAGTTCAATAGAGTTTAAAATGTATATATCTGTGATAAACTAGTTGTTTTACTGTCCTTCGTTGACAGGTTATAATAATTTACCTTTAATTGGTATGAATCTATAACATGATATACTAACGATATGGTTGAAGTACTGCCGATGTGACTTAAAATCTTAACTCACTCACTCACTCATCTCTTTGTCACATCCATAATTTTAGCAATTTTCATTACATATACCTGTGATGAATATTGTAATTTGTAAAGCCTGAATTCATTTGCAAGGGTTTTTGGGAAGTTCTCAACATTTGTTGATTATCTTGTTCAGCAAGAATGAGTGTTTCTCAAGTTTGTTTCCTTGGTACATATTGCTCAATTTGTTATTTCTAATTTTGGATGCGACATTACCCAATCACAAATCAACATGAGGACATTTTATGACAATCTGTCTGTATCTGTCCCTTTGTGATGTCAAGACACGTTATTTCACAGCATGACTTATGAAGCAACGTATTTTGTGTCAAAAGAATTTCAGCTAACTGTGAATTGCAAATATATTTATTTCCTTTCATGGCTAAAACATGTCACTTCATATATGGTTGTGTGATTTGTAAAATAAAACGTATATTATTACGTAACACATACTATATTTGGGATTACACTTTCTCAGTAAAGTACAGATTCTAGTACTTTATGTGTGGTTGAATTCCATCCGGGATTCGAACCCAAACCGGCAGATTTCGGCACCTAATCGCCACCAAACAAAGTCAGCCGTCTAGCCCACTCAGCCATCGTCGCTTCCACAAAAATGCAAGTCGGACACCGGGTTGTGTTGACGGTCTCATGCCGGGAAGGCTAAACTATATATATTTTCTCACTTTCTCAGTAAAGTCTATTACTATTTGTTTTGTTAAGTCCCATCCGGGGTGTGTCATTGTGTACGCATATATATTATTTACGGTTGTGTCCCATAGTAATTTTTCGCTGATGGAATGAAACAGATTGTTGGTTCTAAAAGAGTAGAAGTCATGATTTCAACATATAATTTCGATTATAGAATATTTGAGATTTAAACACTGGTAGTTCAAGTCGGATATGTCTGTCATGAGACTAGCCATTCAAATATTAAAACCTTTGGGGAGGACAATTTGCTGCATTTGGGGCTGAATATAAGATTTAAGATTTTGTGCAGGTCTGGTTATATCCTTGGTCAAACTCTATATTCCAGATGCTCAAATTAACAGGAGAGATCAGAAGATGACATATATACCCCGGCCCTCACAAAAACGAAACGACAAATCATCATCATCATCATCATCATCTCACTGACGCGTTAAGCCAAGCCTGTTGAGAGAATTTCTATCTAATCTTTTTGTACAAATACAAGAGCAGTTATTGAGCTGTCACAGTATCCCCATGGCATTAGAACAACTGTATTTTTGAATTTCTATGGAACCGGAAAGCATATAAATTCTTAAATCCTTAAAGAGCAAAAGGCACCAGTTGATCTTTGTGGGGAAAGAATACTTATTTATTTGAGAGATGTGGTCCGGACAGATACACCACCATCAACGTCAAGCTCATTGCCATGGAAACGAAAAGAACAATTTTTAAAACAAATTGTTAATAGCACCACTGTGGGTCTGTCTGATATTGATGTCTAGATATTGAACGGTATTTTATTTCTGCTCCATGGAAATATTAAGCCCACATTCCGTTAATAGCCAATGGCATCTCTATAGGGTCTATTTGATAAGTCTGGTTGAATGAAAACATTGAACAGTTTTCGAATTATGCTTCGTGACCGTATACTATATTAGATTATATTGTAAACCTCCTAAATTTCTCTTAATCGGATTGGCTGAAGCGTCACCTGGACGACTTGACGACCTCACGTGACAATCCGCAGGCTAAACATAGAATGGTAAGCGTTCTATTCCCTTGTATGGTGTTGAACGCTATATTGCGGCGATCAGCAAATAATCCGAGTGTCCGATGCAGCTACACGAGCAAGGCATCGCTACGTTCAGGAAATCTATAAGATAACAAAGGAAACTTGAAAAGTTAATTTTAACTACCGTCCCCGATGGAAACTTAAAACTCTAAGTTTAACTACCGTCCCCGCGGACCTGTGATAAGTCATTGACATATCTGTGCATTGTCCTAAATCAGTGGCTCAAAGTCAAGCTCTTCTCACACCCCAGCTAGGGGGCGGGGCTTATCCGCCATGGCTGGATCGATCCAATGTAATGTCCTCACGAGTACCTGTCAATTCAAGAGGAACAAGGAAATCTGAAGCCCGAGCAGAAATGGACGACAGTGATTTTCGCTGATACCAAATCAGCCATGTCTCAGTACCTCACCGTTAGATCCATGTGAATGGCCTGGGACTAGATGACGATAAATTCTATAAGCAGTAATATAGCAAGATGGCACTTGCTTCTACTTGTAAACTGAAATAGTGCTGTATAGTATACACATCATGTATTCGAGCCAATTATCTTTCATGAAATAGACAAATCAAGTTCTTGAAAGGCATTTAGAAGTTGGACGGACATTTTATGGATAACAACTTCTTTTTATTCGTTATACTAATAAAGAATAAAAAGAAGTTGTTATCAATAAAAACGTGTCATGTATTCAGAATCAAAGCATGTTCAATTTAAAAATGTTGTAAAACCAGCTCAGGCACTTATTTCATTCGAAATTTTCAATATAACTAATCCTGTAAAAGTTGCAAGCCTGTTGAAACCATTGTTACTTGTCGATGTTTATTCGAAATCAATGCTCCAAGTTCTGTCTTCACTGTTCCAGATAAATAATTCAAAAATCCCTGTCACTCGGCACAGTCATTGCGCATTCATCAGACTGTACTTGCCATTATGAACAGATGACTGCACATAAGTCTTTTGTTCATTGCTATTTGTTTAACGATTGCACCAGTGGCGATTCTGAATATTTCATTAGCCAGATTTCACAACTTTTGAGGGTCAGTTGAGCATGGTCATTTTATCAAGATATTGATGAGTGTAAGATGAATCTTGTTCAGAAATTGTTTGATCAATTATTTTCTCCAACACAATGAA